TACTTAGCAACGAAAACAAAACACTTGTTATCTAAAAACGTTCAATATATTTACTGTACGATCTCAATGAACTCACTAGCCGTTGAGGTAACAGAACGCGGTAGTTAAAACATATTTTTTGCTAATCAAAACACCACTGCAAGTTGCGCCAATCTGGTTTCCATTTTTGTTGTGCACTACTGCCATAAAAGGAAACTCTTTAGATTCCGCTTTTACGCGACCAACAAAGTTAGATGCATAATTACATCCTGCTCCTAGTGGATTTTGAAGACTTGGTACATCGTCGTAGGATCGGCACTCTAAGAAAAACGTAAGACACTATAAATATATATATGTTAAAAGTGAAGTAAAAATGTTTCTTAACCAATGCATGAGATCTTTGCAAGCAATTCTTTAAATTCTGCCTCTTCCTCTGTGAGTGAGCAAATTAACAACAAATCATTCACTAAATTGGCTAAAAAGTGTAGTCTTTCGATTCCCTTTCCCTCCTGCCTCCGTATATATACGTATACGTACACGTATACATACGTGTATACGGATGAACAGACAGACGTGGATTGTGTTACTCGTGCTCATGGAAGGTACTTGCGGAAGTTTTATAGAGCTAATCATCTCCTCTCACTTGCTCTTAGAAATATTGGAAAATGTCAATAAACAATTCAATAAACTATACCTCTTACAACGCGGAAATCAACATATTTCGGTTGCGTATAGTTTCGTGATGACTTCGTACAGCAGACATTTGCACCAGGGCGATCCAAATTGCAGTACGGTTTGCTTTTGGTTAAATTGAAGTTATCTCGGATAAGGGGGCAATCGGCTATTGGTACGCATTCACTGTTAAGACCACATTCATTAGCTTTGTGTGAAAACACCAACAATAAAAACAACATTATATTATATAACTTATTTTACATATTAAAAAACAAATAATAAAAAGCTTTATATTTTTGTGAAGGATTTCCTTTCCTGTTTCGTATACGTACCATTTATGACCGTGATGGTCATTGCATATAGCATCAATAGGTTGAAGAATAATTTCATTGCTACGCCGATCATCTAAAACTGCTGATAATTGGTTTTTTCCCTGCCAATGTCCGTCTTGTATTAAAATCCCATGAATCCGACTGACAACTGAATCTAACTGACTCACTAAAATCATTGCTTATAACGCATTTCCTATGTTCAGTTAAGTTAAGCTTCTAACTTTGCATTTCGTATCTCTTTACAACTTAAGCAACTTGTGAAGAGGTGTAAGAGCAATTACTTAGTTATAAGCCCAACAAAATTTCTCTCTTGATCTCCTAAAACTATCGATGATTTATTTTCAATTTGCCAACGTCTGTCGGACATTGAGAACTTATTAATACGGTAGAGAATTGAAATTGATGTTTTACACTGCCTCTATAACATCTTACAAAGACAACGTCATGCTCGTTGCTAGAAGAGGAGATTTGAAGAAAACTCCTACTGCTGCTGCATATTTCCGTTTTAAAGGATATTCTCTAGAACATGACATGGGATAATCTATACCTTGGGTTTTCTACACCTTGCAGGGCAACGACATATTAAGTTCATGCGCAAATATGCAAAATCCAGAAGGACATGAAATTTTTATGCAAGTCCAGTGTAGTCGAGGAAGGCCGACTATTAGGTACCCTACAAGATTTCGTTTAATACAATATTCCATTCATTTTTGTGATAATATATATAGAAAATTTTACATTATTTTTATGTAAATATATAACTCTTATGAAAGCTTTCATATTGGAGGAGGCTGAAAACGTGATGTAATAGGGTCAAAATATAACAAACTAATTTCCCCTTGTCTCCGTCAGGAAAAACTACAAGTTAATGTTTGTGACCATATAACGGTTTCACTTCCATGGTAGCTCTTGTGTAAAGTTAGGTTGAAAAATGAGCCTTACATGATTCAAATTTAATATAGTTCAGTTATATAAGAACTTACTCTGACGAGGCAGATTGGATATTTCTGCCAACGAAAGGCTTGTTTTTCATCAGGATCTCTATTTGAAATGGGATCCAAAAAATAGAACCACCTGAGCCAAGTTTGGTACAATTTTCGTCGAATTATTACTATGGAATATTGAACATTAGGTCTTCCTGCAATGTAAGGGTTCTTTTTCCACAAGAAGAATAGCAGCGACACTTGTCCTTCGGATCCAAACTTTTCACACCAATTAAGAATGTCGAAATACTATTTATTACTGAGCGATTTTTAGTAATTTGAAATAATGCGACCGTTTTCCCGTATAACGACTTTTCAAAATGAATCGTAAATCGTTAATCGGAAGTGGTCGAGAAAGTGGTCCGATCACCACCATTTTCAGCAAGATTTACGTTGTTGTTCGTATACATATTTTAAAGATTCAGTCGTACCAACTGTGATGCAAAGTATGTGAGAATGATTTACGTACGTGGTCTTAATTCGGTTATCAAGCAAAGATCGCTTCGCCTCCTTGAGACATTTACACTGAACGTGAACTTAAAGCTTCACGCCATAAACAAAGCAAAATAAAGAGAAAGAACTTCTGTGATGGATAAGATTTATTACATGATATGTATAGGCAGAGAGTATGTGCACTGAGAGCAGTAAAGCAACTAAAATATGGAAAAGATTTGATCACCGCTTGACCGCTTGTGTTGTTGTAATCTAGTCAAACTTTATTTTTTGGAAAGGACATCTTGCTGGTGTTCGCAATAAATAACCCATTGAATATTCTATGCAATAATGTTTTTAATAAGTCCTTGTATCTTAAGTACATATCAATATATATTCTTTAGGAAAAAAACTTATGTATATGCATCAACAAGCGATATTATTTATGTATAATCAAATTATTAAAAAGCATTGGTTTTTTACATCAATCCCAAACGATACGTTGTATCCAGTCGATATATAAATTGATTCTGGCGTAAACGGATGGATGGTCTTTATTTCCGCAAGCCTCGTGACGGATTGAGTAAACGCCTACTACGGAAAATTGACAGGGAAACTCGGGACTATTAATAAGAAGTGCACCGCCATTATCTCCATGACAACTACCGATATTGCCAGTAGAAGGGATCGTACATATATGAGTACGATTATTAATGCCTTCTTCCAAATTGTCACGTACGACTTTCGCGAAACATACGTTATCGTCGAGACGATCCAATTTCACTTTATGTAAATGGGTTGTAGGTGTAGATGGAGGATAACCCCAACCCGCAGCTAGAAATTCTTGATAATCATTACCATCTTCTAGAGATAGGCAAGCAGGACGTACGTAATCGTTAAATATGGCTTCTTTTGTCAATTCAATCAAAGCTATATCGTGGTAGAAAGTTAGTGGTGTTCTGTAATATTGCGGATGAGCTATAATATTTTTGATCTCAATATCTTGCAACAATGCATCATCCGCGTTAGTAACATAATCCAATTCGCCTAAACGCACGAATGTTAAGGGAGGACTTGGCAATGAAAAGCAAAAAGTTGGTTACGTAAACACATTCAATAAATCTGTTGTACGATGTACTTACTTAGTGACAGATTTACAGTGAGCGGCTGTTAAAACAAATTTTTTGCTAATCAATGTGCCAGTGCAAATTTTAGAAGGCACGTCTCCGCTTTTGCCATATATTAATGCCATAAAAGGAAATTCTTTACCTTCCGCTTCTACGCGACCAACAAAGTTAGATGTATAATTACATCCTTCTCCTAATCGACTTTGAAGACGTGGTAGACTGTCGTAGGATCTGCACTCTAAGAAAAACGTGAGACACTATAAATATATATTAAAAGTGAAGTAAAAAAGTTTTATAACCAATGCATGCGATCTTTGCAAGCAATTCTTTGAATTCTGCCTCTGCCTCTGTGAGTCAGCAAACCAACAACAAATCACTCACTGAATTAGCTAAAAGGTGTAGTCTTTCAATTCCCTTTCTCTCCTGCTTCCCTATATATATATATATTTATATATATATATATTTATATATATATATATATTGGTGGATGAACAGAGAGACGTGGATTGTGTTACTCGTGCTTATGGAAGGTACTTAGGGAAGTTTTATAGAGCTAACCATCTCCTCTCACTTGGTCTTAGAAATATTGAAAAATGTTAATAAGCAAATTAGTTACTATACCTCTTACAACGCGGAAATCAACATATTTCGGTTGCGTATAGTTTTGTGATGACTTCGTACAGCAGACATTTGCACCGGGACGATCCAAATTACAATAGGGTTTCCTTTTGATCAAATTGAAATTATCTCGGATAAGGGGACAATCGGGTATAGGTACACATACACTGTTAAGACCGCATTCATTACCTTTATGAGAAAACAACAGCAACAACAACGTTAAAAAAAAACTTGTTATTTCTACGAAAAATTTTCGGTTCCCCTTTCGCATACGTACCATTGACGACCGTAATGGCCACTACATATAGCATCAATGAACGAATGATTAATTTCATTGCTAATCCGATCATCGAAAACTCCCGATAGTTTGTTTTTTACTGTTCAACATCTACTTTATAATTAGAACTGATGACTCCGGTTGAGAGCTGAAATTAACTGATTGACAGAAATAGTTGTTGACATTCCATCTCCTATCTTTAGTTAAGTTTAGCTTCTAAGTTTGTCTCTTAAAAAACTTAAACAACTTTTCATTGGTGTTCTGAGAGTAATTAATTAGTTTTACACCCAATAAAATTTCTCTGTCCAATGATCTAAAACTGTCGATGATTTTCTTATACCTCGTTCTACTTACGAGGCAAGGGTATGTTAAACATGTGCGAACAATACCCGATATGTGCAACAAGTTACTTTCTGCATCGATATAAGCTTATGTCCACGCCTCTCTACTTTTATTCAATTCGTCTGTTTAACCTACAGGTAGCAATTTTTAAGATATTTTGATGAAATTCAACTGCGCGATCTGTTTGGCCCAATGGCAAGAGTTATTGAAAATGGTTCGGACCGGAGCACTTCCTCGACCACTTGCCATGTATGTAGCGTAAGGAGCGTATGAAAGTTACATTTGGCGGGGGACGAATCTCGCATACCCATGACTATGTTTTTCGCATTCTACTCTCCAAGTTCTTTTATTCGATACCCATATTGCTGATATTATTAAGAAAAAATTTATAGCGGAGTCTACCTTATTCGTTTTAAAATTAACCCATTTTTATGCAGATAATATATGTTCATTTGAGGAGTGTATAAAATAGTTTTAAACATTCTGTCTTGTTTGCCTTATGACAAATAAGCATAAAACCTCAAAAAATTGAAACAAATAAAATTTAGGTACTCGTAACTTTGTGTGGGCTTGGTCGATTGTTTCCATTTTTCAACGTAAAGTACACACCGCAAATTTCAACCTTCCAAGTTTAATAATTTCCAAGAGACAGGCAAAAACCCAAAATTTTTTGTTAAAAAAAAAAAACGGAGTTGGGTTCAGTTTACGCTCCACTGCGCGCTTC